GCCATTCGCTGTTTCGCTTGTAAAAGCTCGTACTGGGACATTCATGGCTTAATCTTTGAGACATGAGACAGACGGAACGAGCGAGCACGGTGCGTGCTTGAAAGCACGGTCCTTCAGCAAGCACGTGTAGCGTATCCTTTGACTTAGGGGTTCAGGGTTCAGGGTTTAGGGTTCAGGGTTTAAGGTCTAGGGCTTAAGTGTTTCAACTTGTATGGTGTTCAGGGCGCGGGGTTGCGTCATTGTCGGGTTTGCTGACGGTTTATAGGGCTCCGTAGGAGTATTGGTGAGTCCCCTAAACCCTAAACCCTAAACCGGTTTAGTGTTTTTCGGGATTCCGTGTGGCCAAGGATGCGGTAGGAGGAACCGAACCGACATGACAGCTGCGAGATTGAAGTGCTCGCGGCAACAAGTCCATGAGTCGTTGCCAATGTAGGAAGTTTAATATAGAGGCCTAAATAACTACCTCTACAGTTTTGGGGATTCCTTAATATAGTTATAGTTATAGTATAATATAACCCAAAACCCTGTCCTAATTATTATGGCCCTACATTACCCGAGCTTCACCTTGCGTGTCTGGCCATTCTCATGCAGTCAGTTGGGATGCAGTTTAACCCTAAACCCTAAACCCTAAGCCCGAAACCCAGTTTGCGACTAAAGCCCTGACGATCTAAAGTTCGAAGTATGGGCCCCCAACGCTTAGGCCGTTCTAGGGACCCTTAAGGGTACATAAAGGGTAGATAGTAGGTGTATAAGGATCCCAGGGTTAAGGGCCCATGCTAGGGGCCCATGGGTTCAACCTTAGAGACCAGCAACATGTTGAGCTTACTCCGCAGGGCTGTCTTTCCTTAGGGAGCCTGGTCACGGGTTGTGCATCTCTGTGATAACCGCAAAAAGGGTTTAGGGTGTAGGGTTTAGGTCTAGAAGCAGCAAAATGCCCTAAACCCTAAACCCTAAACCCTAAGCCCTAAACCCTAATAAACCCTAAACCCTAAACCCTCAACCACGAGCCCTTCCGAGGTACAGGGGAGTTTTCAGATTGGCGTTCTGCACCTTGCCACGTTCACCTGTTGGAGGGGAGCCTCGGCAGGCTGTCCACAAGTCATTAGGCTTCAAGTGGGTTTAGGGTTTAGGGTTTAGGGTGTAGGGTTTAGGGTGTAGGGTTTAGGGTTTAGGGTTTATGGTTTAGGGTTTAATTTAAGGGTTTGGGGGTCAGGCATTTAATATAGGAGCCGCAATAATTGCCTATACTATTTGGGGGGTTGCTTATTATTGTTATAGTATAATGGGCCTCAAAAACCTATTCAAGCTATTAAGGCCCCTACATTAGGGGTTTAGGTTTAGTACACTTTCTTAGGAAGCTGAGTTCCGAACCGGCAAGCATGGAACTTGAGCCTCACCAGTGATGCCCTAATCCAATTTTCAATTCACCTAGTTTCTTCCAGCGTCCTCAGAACTAAACCCTAAACACTAAGCAGTGAACCATCACCCAAGCAGCTTAAACCCAACACTCAGCCCTAACCCAAGAGCCCAACCTTAAACCCATACCCTCGACCCTATCCCAAAATGCAGACCCTACACTTAAACCCTCAACCTTAGCTTAGCCCTCAACTAACCAAAATCCTAAACCCTAAACCCTAAACCCTAAACCCTAAACCCCTAAAACGGAAAACCCCAGCTGCAAGGACGTTCTTCCTCAGCTTCCTCCAGGGAAGCTTCGCTGCGGGCCGAAGCCTTGCAGCCGTCGCCGAGCGCACTGCTGCGGCCCTGGCGCGGACACTGGCACTTTGGCGGGTTCTGTGGGTGGGTGATCGTATAAGTTTTCGATGTTTTCCGCTTCTTGGTTTGGGGTTTAGGGCTTAGGGGGCTTTGGGTTTTGGGTTTACGACTTGTGGCTTACGGTTGGGGATCGGGGTCTGGGCTCAGGATTATGGCGTTCGGGTCGTTCTTCGGTGGTTGCGTCTGTACCGTTCGATTGCTGATCTCTGCAGTAGCAGAAGATATGCTTGAATACTATAGTGGCCTTTGAAATAATTACCAATACTGTTTTGGGGGTTCCTGAATATTGTTATAGTATGCTGGGCCTCAAAACTTCAAAACCCTATTCTAATTATTAAGGCCTCTATATTGCTTGAATACAGCCTCACCTCTGTCCTCCGAGCTCTATCGTTTTGGCCTATAGATTTCCGAGCCCCTTAAGCCCCTTGACCCGTGAATCGAATTTTGGGTTTGGGGTTTAGGGTGATGGAAGCTCTTGATGCCTTAAAGGTTACAGACATCCGCAAACTTTGAATCATGGAAGGCTGTGCAACTGTGTAGCAACTTCTGTTTTTGGGGTGCCGCTTCTGGAACCTACCCTCTTGCCATCATGCCCACCAAAGGTGCTTTCCGAGAAGGACCGACATGAGACTGGTCTGCATAACCGTCATAGCTCCAAGGGTTTTTGGGTTTCGGCTTCGGGATTCGCTTCCAGCGAATGTTGGTACGCCTGTAAAGACACAGAGCTCATGTATGCCACTGAAAGGTAAACCCTACATCCAAAACCTTAATCCGCAATCCGGTTAAGGCGTTGGGGTTTAATGGTTTATGGGTTGGGGTTATGCTTGCTACAAAAACGAGAGGGGTCTTAGGTTGTAGAAGTTCAATCTACTTTCCTCCACAGACAGCTATAGGGTTGGTTCCCGTTCAAGGGCTTACGGCTTAGAGTTCCTCTTGGTTAGGATCCCCTCATGACTAAGAACATTGTCAAACCCTAAGCCCTAAACCCTAAACCGTGGGCCCTAAACCCTAAATCCTATCTTCTTGACAACAACCCCAAGGTGATCCTTGTCTATGGCCTCAAGGTGGCGGCCAACCGCGCGATCAGCCAATCAGCTGGCTCATCCTTAGCGGCTCCTGCAAAGACCCTGGGCATCTTGTACTTAAAGGATCATGGGACTTAGTAGCTAAGGTTATTATCAGGATAAGTAGACTTATGACTACCTATGACCCCAATTAAGGTACTTCTAACCATACCTACTAAGTCCCATGAGCCTCCAAGTAGGCTTGGAATGTGTGGCTCGTTCAAAAGCTTGTTCATGCGCAGCTCGAGTCTTGTATTCCTGGGGTTGTTATCACGCTGTCGTTACCTCTAGCATTAACGGTATTGTTCAAGTTGTTACTCTCATGCTGGTTATCATCCTCAGCATGTTTTCTAATGATCATCCTCATGCCTTTTCGCTGTACCCAGCAATCGATCAGCACACTCGCACCCTTGCCTTACAGTCGGAAACTTGAACTTCTATGGTCCTCACGGATGCTGCCACCCTGATGAGAGTTCATATTCTAAGCCTCTGTGATATCCAATGCAATAGTTTGCAACGCTCCAACTCCTAGTTCCATTCCCTACTTCAGACACCCAGGCACATCCCAAACTCCAAACCCTCGGTCCTACAGCCACCCGAAACCAAGCTCCAGGCCCTGTACAAGCCCAAACCCCAAAACCTTCTATACACCCTGAACCCAGAAAACACAAAACGCAACGCTAACCGAACCAACAAATCTTGACCTCAACACCAAGCCAAAAGCACTGTGACCCTAAACCCTAAACCCTAAACCCTAAGCCCTAAACCCTAAACCCTAAACCCTTGAAGCCAGACTCGGAAGGAAAATCCGGCAACTCTTCCCTGCTGTGGCGGCCGTGCTCATCCTAAAACACCAGGTGCCCGATGCCTTACAAAGATCCAGAGAGCCGGGGCTAAAGTTTGAGGGTTTAGGGTTTAGAGTTTGAGGGTTTAGAGTTTAGGGTTTAGAGTTTAGGGTTTGGGGCTTACAGTGTAGGGTTTAGAGTTTTAGGGTTTAGGGTTTAGAGTTCAGGGTTTAGGGTTTAGAGTTCAGGGTTTAGAGTTCAGGGTTATGGGTTTAGGGTTCTGGGTTTCGTTAGGGTTTAGCGACTTACAGGATCCCTGTACCTTGAACAAACCATACCGGGAAACTCTATATGCTCTTAGCAAAGTCCGATGTAGTATGAGAGAGTCCCTTAAAAGGGCACCCTTCTTAATCCTGCTTATGGCTCCCTTAAAAGGGACCTTGTTGAGAGGGTCTATATCCCCAAGGGTCCCCCTAATCCTAAACCCTGAATCCTAAACCCGAAACCCCAAAACCCAAACCCCAAACCCCAAACCCTAAACCCTAAACCCTAAACCCTTTTCCTAACTCTTACCAAGTTCCACCATGGAAGGGTACAGGGGGCTCCCTGGTTCAGTGAGTCTCTCATCAAACCCTGAAGTTTCGGAAGGC